TACTACTACTACTGCTAGTACTACTCCTACTACTACTACTACTACTACTTCTTCTTCTACTACTACTACTACTACTACTACTACTACTACTACTAACTACTACTGCTACTACGGCTGCACGCCTACTACTACTACTACTACTACTACTACTACTACCACTACCACTACCACTACCACTACCACTACCACTACCACTACCACTACCACTACCACTACTGCTACTACCACTGCGACTACTGCCACCAACTAAAAACCGACTGCTACGACACCGATGACTGCCAAGACTACGACTACAAAGAGGTCAACCACGTCAACGACACCTACGACGCTAACGACAACGACTTCGACTCGTACTGCCCCACTATGGTATCACCGCTACGACCAATCATCATGCTTGTGGGCTCGTGAGCACAAGCAGACTGTTGTAGCCGGCGCGCACAGAGAGGAAGTGGCTCTGAGGTGCAGCTGCTACTGCTACAGTGAATGCCAGAGCGCGCATGCGGTACGAATTCAACCTGCACATGCAGACTCCGCCATGCTTGCACGCAGAAAGCGGCTCCGTTGGGCCTGGGCTTCAGCGGAGCAGTATAGTAAAGCGGTTGCAGAAACGGTCGCGGCCGTAGCAACTGTGGCAGGTTGTCACCATCGCCTGCACACTGATGGGATATTTAATAGCATCTAGGTTCAAATCAAGCCCCACCACTGTCATACACATAAGCGTGATACCAAAAAGGACTCAGATAAGACTACTATCTGGCAAGGCGGACAGCAGTGGCAGCTGCAATAACAAACAGCTGTGACCCTAAATGGCCACTTAGGAGGGCGCGGGCCGTTAGTAGTCAAAACCGTGGATCATACCGTTCCAGCACCCACATACCGCAACACGAGCATCCGAAAAGATCCATGACGGAGTCTTCGCAGGTTTGACCCCTCTCCCTTGGGTCTGTCAGGCATGCAAGACCTTCTGGTGGCTCTATCCTGATCCGAAACCCGGGCCTCTAAAAAGCCTTCATTCCTGTAATATATTTATTTATATATATATATATATGTATATACATATACATACATACATATATATATAGATATATCATTGAAGATCCGAGATCTCTCTCGCAAAGAACGCGGCTCGCCCGGGCTCGGAGGGTCGGTCCAAGGGCAGCGAAAGGTCCAGCTCTCAGCTGCTTAAGAGCAGTCCTAGAGAGGGTATCAGGGGTTTAGGGCTTAGGGTAGTTTAGGGTTTAGGGTTTAGGGTTTTGAGGGTTTAGGATTTAGGGTTTAGGGTACTAATTAGATTAGGGGGTGTATGATAAGGGCCTATATCAGGGTTTTATATGGGGGGCTTTACTGAACAAGGCCAGGGTATCATACGAGCTACTGCGAAGGTCCCTACAAGGCTTGCTAGAAGGGTTTCTAAAAGGGGTATTTGAAAAAAAACATGCTTTAAGTCAGCGGCTTTGGGGAAGTTGGTTGAGGTTAAACATCAGATCAGTAGCGGCAAAGGAGAGAATCAGCCCTCTGGACCGCTTCAGGACCATTCATAAGCTCGAGGAACCAACTTCTCGGTCCGATGCGACACGACTGTCACGGGCTCATCGTCAGAGCCTGTACGCACGGGCTCCTCTCCGCCAGCCTCGAGCCCGACACGCCAAACCGAAAAGGCAACATCAAGACAACACACTAGAACTGCAAGTGATACGGCTGATGGACAAAATCCTGCATGACCCTATATACCGAAACTATGGGATCTATGGTACTCTACTATATTCATGCAGAATTTTGTCCATCAACAGTATCTAACATGAAGGTAGTGCAGGTTCCTGGCTCCGGTACTATACCGAACCTTGCTGTGAAATCCGTCGGAGATGACTTTCACAGGCCCCCGAACCTCCCCAAGCCGCGAACCTTGCACCGCGAACCCAACAAAAAAAGACAAGCAAGCGAAGACTACTTGGAGGTTCATGGGTAGTTATAAACGAGTTTCTAAGTAGGGTAACTGTACTTATAACCCATATTAGGGGACTTATAACTCCACTTATAACTACCCATGAACCTCCAAGTAGCCGTGAAGCTGCGAGCCCGAAACCCAAAAAAGCAGCGCAAGGAGGCCCTGGCTGCACCGTAAGGAGCCGCCGCCCTCGCCGGCGTGGCGACAGCCCGCCGCGTGCCTTGCCTCGATCGTGAGCAGGATTACGGGAACCGGCTTGGGTGGATGTCGGATTTACCTCGCACCTAGGGATGTTATCAGAGATTTAAAGCAGGCACACAATCCCTCCCATAATACAGTTGACCACCTCTCTTGCAACCTGTCGTCACCCTACTTGACCTAAGGACCTCAAGCCCTGCAAGCCCTATTCCACCCAAGACTCTCACTCTCTGTCATGTGACCTACAGCGTTGCATTCTACTGCAGTCGTTCCCCTCGATCTGGGAAGCTAGGTGTTCGGCTCTGCTTGCCTTTTGCTGACACTGACGACTGAAGCCCTAAGTCCCCTGCTGCTGCCTTTTGGGGTATCAAGGGTTTAGGGTTTAGGGTTCTGGTCTTGGGAGTGTGGTGCTCCTGCTGCCGCAGCCTCTGCTGCTGGTGCCGGTGGCGGGGTGAAACGTACCTCGTAATCAGAAGAACTGCCGTGATTGTAGCTGTGCCACTTCACCTGGCTTATGCTTGTTAGTTTTTGCAAGGCCCACCCTCAGTAAGCCCTTCTGAAGCCAAACCCCTATATGTAGGCTCTCAGATAAGCCCCTAAAGCCCTACTGTAAAACCCTAAAACCCTGAAACCCTGCAAACCGGGAACCGATCAGAACCCAAATCCGAACCTCCTCGGAGCCCACGGCTGTGCGGCCAAGCGACGCATCCTTCTCGAGCTTGGCCTGGGGTTGGCTCTACGTGCGTGAGGAAGCCTTCTTAGAACTGCTTCACAACTTGAACTATAAATATGTGCATATTATATATATATATACACATATGTATATATATATATATATACATATATACATATGATACAGGTACATGCTGTTTTGGGCGGGGAGGGTTGGGTGTTACGGCTTTAGGAGGTAAGGATTGGCTTCGGAGATTTGTTTGTGTGCTATTTGGGCTAATGCGGAGGGTATGAGGATTGAAGAGGGTGTAGGGCTTACAGTTGAGGGCTCGGGCGTTACGGGGGTGGTTGAGGATGTAAACCGTGAGCAGAAGGGGTTGAGGGTTTTGGGTTACTTGGGGCTTGGGGTTATAAAGGATTATAAAGGTTTAGGGCCGAGAGTTAAGGGTTTGGGGTTTCGGGCTTGAAGGTTTCGGAGTAGCTGCACCTTGCCATTCTGGCAACCCGTGGTTCCTACAAAATGTTCCAAAGTCAATCCATCCTTCGGGCTACCGGTCTCGAATAGCAACCCACCATGGCATGTTGACAGATTCCTATCATGATGACAACTATATCGTGACACCAAGCCTCTGCCGTGGTCTTTGGGTTGAAGGGCTCCAGGGTTTACAGGTTTACATCGAAGGAGTCTGCCTTTTTGGCGCTTTGCTTTGCAATCTAGATTTTAAGGTGTGGGTTCGGAGTGCCGGGTAAGGCCAGCAAGTTCCCTTCCACTGCCAGGCTACCTTGAAGAAGACCCAACCGCCAAGCCTTTCTAATCCTCAAAACCTCCTCCGGAACCCAAAACCCTCATGTCAAAACCGAAGGCCATCACCGAAGTTGTCGGCAACGTCGACCCTGACAACGCTGAGTCACCCAAAAAACCCTCAAGAGGTTTGGAGAATCAGATGTACGCAGTAGCCCTAACCTTCCATCTCTTCTGCCGCAAAACAACGAGACCGAAACGGCCAAAGAACTCTCCTAGGAATGGTTTGCTCTTTTCTTGCTGCCTAGGGCTGCAGTCCTTTAGGTTGGGCATCGGATTTTCTAATTGTTTCTTTTGCGGAATCAAGAATTTTAGATTTAGGCCGGGGTTGGGACTAGAGGTCTTTCGAAACTACGCCGCAGCCGAGTGTCCCCAACCCGTCGCCACTTGGAGCGCAATTGCCCGGATGTGGGGGCAGAGAGCTGCGGCGGTGACGCCTGACAAAGGGCGGAAACTCTAGTGCTTGCAATATCAAGCAAGTCCACAACTCCAGGATCGTAGCCGTGACGGTAGCAGTCAAGCCTACCCTGTCAGGAGGCATACTGCAAAAGCCTTGTACTCCACGATGAAATCCAGGATGTTCGGGTCTTCCAACATGCGGCGTGCAAACCTAGGTGTCGGGACTGGTGCCCAGGATCTGAGACTCGTGGCACGTGTGTGCAGTGAAGCTGCAGACACGGTGGGCGAAGCATACGATTCCAGCTGCGGGGGGCTGCGGCTTCCGGGCAGTCTTGGTTTCACAAATATGACAGTCAAAACTGGAATAAGCTGGATCTCAGTTTGCCTGCTCCACTGCTGCGAGGATCGACAGCCACGACACATACGTCTTTTGAGGTAGGCAGCCATCAATTAACAAAGGGACCCTCAATGCCCTCGAGATGCTTTTTGTATCTTTGTTGAACCCAACCCTCATGTAGGGAGCGTACTCCAGGACATAGACGCCACAGTCCGTCTCGTTGGTCTGCAGCACCGTACGCAAGACATCGGGCAATGTACTGGCGGATTGCAGCAAAGGAGAAGGACTGCCTGCTGCGGTACGGCGATGGACATGCTCTGGATCTTGCTGGCGTCATAACCGGCAGCACCGTGGAAGCCTCGAGATAGCAGGTCTATCCAAAGATATCGACAAGAACGGAACAGCCCACTGAGATGCCAGCAGTCTTCCCACTCTTTCTTCAAGTACTCCTGAAAGCACTAATGTAGGGATCTATCATAATTATAGTATAGTGGGCCCCCAAACAAAGCCCCATTCTAAATTATTAAGGCCCCTATATTACGAGTAGCGAAGCCCTCTGAACCCTTCCTCTGCTCGACGCAGACCCTACTTGGAGGTTCATGGGTAGTTATAAGTGGGGTTATAAGTAGGGTAACTGTACTTATAACCCACATTAGGGGACTTATAACTCCACTTATAACTACCCATGAACCCTAAACCCTAAACCCTATAGAATCCCTTTAAAGGAACCCGTAAAGGAACCCCATAACTCCACTTATAACTACCCATGAACCCTTAACCCTAAACCCTATAGAACCCCTTAAAGGAACCCTTAAAGGAACCCCATAACTCCACTTATAACTACCCATGAACCTCCAAGTACAGTCCTGGAGATGCTTCACAGCATCGGCGTGGCGGGGTCCCGCGGCTACGATCGCCTGAGCTGCCACCTGGTCTTTCTGCGTCTTTCCGCGTCTTTCTGCGTCTTTCTGTCTGAGCGCGGTTTCGGTAGTCTTACTGAGAGTCGTAGAGAGCGATGCTATGCTCATGATTATGGCTGAGATCCCCCCAGAAAGCCTGCCGGTTCTGGAGAGCTTCCCCAAGTGCCGGAAATCACTTCCCAAACCCCCAAAGAACCCCAGGCCAAGGATGTAGGGTAGAGGGTTTTGAACATGTTAGGGCGTAGATTCCCCTGGCCGTGAAATTACCATGTAGCCCGAGTGGGCAGTACAACAGTAGTAGTAATAGTAGTAGTAGTAGTAGTAGTAGTAGTAATAATAATAATAATAATTGTGTTGTTGTTGTGTAGTAGCAGTAGTAGTAGTAGTAGTAGTAGTAGTAGTAGTAGTAGTACTAGTAGTAGTAGGAGGAGTAATAGTAGTAGAAGTAGTAGTAGTAGTAGTAATAATAATATTTGAGTAGTAGTAGTAGTAGTAGTAGTAGTAGTAGTAGCAGTAGTAGTAGTAGTAGTAGTAGTAGTAATGGTAGTAGTAGTAGTGGTAGTAGTAGTAATAACAATAATAATAGCCCAAATAATAGCCATACAGGGATAATGTATGCCCCAGGAAGAAGAACCCTCGTTCAGAGCTGTAGCAAGCTGGGCCTCTGCATCCTCAGGATTCATGACCGATGATTCCGGGAGCCTGGCGGGATTTGGGGTTCTAAGGTTTTGGGGGAAATGGTCAGGCTTCAGGGTCTCATTACACTGGCTGTTCTCAGGTTCGACGAGTCTTCGATGCATTCTTGGTAGGTTGCATACGACTTCCATGTGGATCCCTTACGGATTCTGTACCGCTGTGGGGAGCGGCTGAATATTTAGGTCCGGAGGGCTTGACGAAGCTTCTGTAGGGGCAGTCTCTGAGCTTCAGTGCTGACCCAAAGAAGCATCCCTGCATCCTCAGTTTTGTGCACCGATGAGTCTGTGAATATCTACTACGTACGTAATATTAGGCCTGTATTTCATACACGGATTTATGCAGTGGCTTTTACATATGGCACGAAAGAACATGCACAAGGTGCCGAGCCACCAAGCGATGACTGGGTGAAGGTGAAAACAAATCGACGGGGACATGTGCAGGACCCAGGAGGGAGAATAGTGAATACAAGTGACCACAACTACACTACATGACAATACATTTCATGACATTGTCGTTCGGTACATTACGTTGTGCTGCAATACAGTACACTACTGTGGTAAAGCACGTTGCGATACGTTACATACGCGATACCTTACATTAGAATTGGCTTAGATTACATGAGACTACACTATGAAAATGCATTAAATTGCACGTCCATGAAAAGCAGAGGCTCCTGCACGCACACCTCACACATACACACGCGTCACCCATGCACACAAGAATGAATAGTCGTATGTACCGTCAGTCTCCGTTAAACACGTACAGTCGAATGCCCTGATGAAACATGCGCGCACACACACACACACCTACGGACATGGACACGTGCACATACAGATTCATATTGGATCTGCGATAGCACATATAGACTGATAGCATAGACTAAACACAGTTTGCCTAGATACATCGGTAGATGCGTACATATGACCACACCTGCATGCACAAGTACGCAAAAGCATCTATGCGCACACTCTCAGCCAAAGGAACTAAGTGCAAGAGACACATGCATGGGAATACATCATGCATGTGCTAATACACGCCTGTAGACTGGAGCCACACCTGGAGTTCTGTACATGCTTGCAAGATCTCGCATGCAACCGTGAAAACATGCAATGTTTCACCTGTAGACAGACAGAGACACAGAGAGAGACGTCTGCATGCACACACGTATTGGTAGCTAAATTCGTACATGAGTACATACAGCATTTTTGCAAAGATGCACACGCGTGAGAATGTATGCATGCTCACACATATAGGACATCGCGCCACGAGTTACGCGCGGCCCGCGTTCTATTGCCGGACTGTGGGGTGAGAGCCAGCATTGGTCAAAGCTTGCCGATCATAACCTCAAGCCGCGAACTCCAAAAACAACCTTGGGACGGGGTCGATGGAGTCGAGGATAGCCACGAAAGTCTCGTGGTGTCCGGGCCTCGGGTTTCAGTCTAAGGGCTGAGTGTTTGGGATTTAAGGAGTCAGGGTTCGGGATTTAGGGGAAGGGGTTGGGGATTTTCATTCTCTCAATCCTACTACTCCTACTCCTCCCTACTGCCACTGCTACTGCTACTGCTCCTGCTGCTGCTACTGCTCCTGCTACTGCTACTGCTACTGCTACTGCTGCTGCTACTACTACTACTACTACTACTACTACTACTCCTGCTGCTATTACTACTACTACTACTACTACTACTACTACTACTACTACTACCA